GATTTAAATTCCAGAAAAAACTCTGCCTTTGGGTAGTTGAGAGGCCTGGGGGGAAAAGGAATGTCTGTAGGAAAACATATTTCTAGGGAGTGCAATATGGAAAGTGAAAAATGAAGTCATTGCAGTTAAGGTGCTAAGGAAGTTTCCTATGTAATGGAGTATACATTTAATAAAGAGAGAAAAGAATGAATGATGATAAGCAAGGACATATGATGCCTTTCAGCTCTATGTCATCCATTCAGATTTGGATCAGATTGGCTGTGGCATACCTTTTAATGGCTTGTTACCATTTGATGGCTATTGCTTGTCTTCTGAAAAGTGAGTTGATGATCTCACACAAATTACTAATGAATATGTGACCATCTTACAAAACCACTGAGTGCTAACATTGATAGTACAATTTAAATATTAAAGGTGACTGTAACTCCTTATTTTTCTCATTGTAGCAAAGTTTCTCTCTCTCTCTCTCTTTCTATTTAAATTCTGGCAAGTCTACACACACACCAACACACATACATATGTGTGTGTGTGTGTACATACAGACTTGGCAGAATTTCAAAAATTTTGGAAACTCAGGAAATAGAAAGGGTTAGACAGTAATTATTTAATGACAGTAGATATTGAGATTGATAAAGTTAAAGCTTTACAATAATTTAAACACACATTATCAGAATCACATGTAAAAATATACAAAGTGAATATCCTTAAATCCAACTCTAGTATGTCCTAAAACAATATTCTTCTTTCTTTATCTGTAAATTTAGATGATCAATGAAAATATTTTTCATCATTTTATGTGTGTACAGTAAAATTGATATTTATCAACATTTACTGATACAAATCTAATTATTTGAAGCCTATGCATACATGCGCACACACACATATAAAATCACACAGAGAGGTTTGTGTATTAAAATTATATTAAAATGTGAAATATTAACAAAGTATACTTCACATAAATTACATTTTTACTCAAAATGTAAGAAACATTATAATTTAGAAAAAATGAAACACAAATGGCAACCTTATGGTGTTGTAAGCAACACTGTATATCTAATGAGATTGAGAAGTTATGCTTTACTAGGCAGTAGCTTTATTTTATTAAATACAACTATGTCTACACTGGGAAGGTTTGGCGACAAAAGTGCTGTTGACATGGAAAAGTCACCAAAAGTGAAAACCAGTCAAACCAATTTTTCTGCCTCCCGTTGTCAACATTTCATGGCCACATTACTAGCTCCCTTGTCGACAGAGCAAAGCAATGTGGGTAAGCATCCCACAATGTAATGTTGTGTAAAGTCAGAGCTGATCACTGTGCTTCCTGGGATTCTCTTGTAGCATTGTGAACTGTCCATGCTCAGGAATGTCAAAGCAGCACAGAAATCTCTCTACTCTTCCCCCTGCAGCACCAGAACAGGAAATTCCTATGATTTGTTTTTGGTTTGTTCCCCAAAGGAAACAGCTCACTCAGCTGTCACATATTTCTTGGAGCCTTGAAAGGGGAACGGTGCATGCCGTTAGGGCAGTAGATATCACAAAACGCTGAGGACAGCCATAAAGACAGGCATTCTGGGATACCTCTATTTTTAGCCTTTAGAAAATATTCTGAATTATACAATATAAGTAGTGTCATGACTTATATATATCATGACTGAACATGCATTTTTTCTTTTTGGATATATAGGTTATATAATAAAGAAATTTACCTTACAATAGTTCTGGAAGTGTCTGAAACATATATGAATACATGCAGTACTGGCTTCTAAAAATGGTTCATTGCAAGTTGTTTGTTTATTTCACTGGAACCTTCTCATTTCCCTCAGTTCATGTGAAAATTGTGAATTGTATGGTAGATTGAGACCAGTCTGTGGCTACCAGCTGGCATTCCATGATTTATAGACATTTATATTGTTTTAAATGACTGCTGTATCATTAGCACTAAGCAAACAATACATTTTTTCTCTCATCAAATGTATTATCTTATCAATTATTATTAGTTTTTGGGTTAGTAGGCAGATATATCTTATTATTTTCCATTCCCATATTTGCTGGAATCTGATGGTATTACCATACACTAAGGTCTTGATCCCGTACCTCTGAAATCAGTGGGGGCATTGCCATTGACTTTGACAGAATCAGGCAGTGAGTGCCCAGTTTTGCAGAGACTGATGCACAGATGTAACTTAATTTGCATGAGAAATCTTGATGAGAGCAACTCATATGAGTATAGTTTTATGCATACATGGGTCTTTGCAGGGTCAGGGCCTTAAAGCCCATTTCTGGAAGCCCTGCATAGACAAAGCTCCTATTGCATTCAGTGGACATTTTGTCTATAAAAGTACTATAGGATTGAGCCCATAAAACACAAGTACATGATTTCACCATTGTGAGCAATAACAGCAATAACAACAATAATAAAAATAGCAGTTGTCTCATTTATTTTTTATTAATATAATGAGATTTTTACCTAAAAAATCTTTTATTATGCTTCATTTGACCCTGTTCTCAATCATATGCCCACAGTTAGGCCCGGAGCCTGCAATAAGTTCCATGTGGATTAATCCTTGATTTGTGTAGAACCCCAAGGAAGTCCATGGGGATCTGGGTAAAAGTGGGTTGGATCCATTTTCAGGCATGGAGTCTAAGAGCTTTTCTTTACCTTGAATGGTATTAATTCAATAGAAATGCTAATGGCTGGAGGCCAAATCCTGCATGTCTTAGGTAAAATTCCTGTTGACTTTAGGGGGAGTAGCATTTGGGTTTGTTTAGCTTTCATATGTGGATGGCATTTACCATAGTTAATTATTGATTGTACTGTACATTTTTAATTGCCAAGTACCACTTCTGAGTTTTCATAAAATGGATTAAAATCCTTTAAAATGTTAAAGACTTTTCCCCACAGTCAGTTTTTCAGTTTATCAGGAATCCGGTCATTTGGATATCAACAAGTTGGGCTGCTGCTGTTCTTCAGCAGTTACAGCCTAAGGTCTCTGCTGCATCAGGTCAATTTGCTTTCAAGGTTGGTGGAGCTATTTTTTCCATGTACTGATTTTTTTTTCTTTTGAAGCATGCTCAGGTCAGTTGTCTCTGCCTTTGCATTAAATTTGTCCTGAGCCATTGCTACTGAATCAATATTTTATAATGATATTCTTAATATGCAAATGTATTTTACTATTAACATCTGTTGCATGATTTTGATACTAAATAACTACTTTGCTGTCTCTAGCAGTGTGATTACAGTAAATAGAATGATGAATGCATGCAGATTAATAGTCTAATCTCACTGCCTGTGTATGGATAATAGGAAAAATAACATTTATTCCAGTACTAGTATATCTATTATATCAATATTACAAAGCCATATTATCCTATGGTTGGAAGTGACAGTAAATAGCTATATGAAGACTGTCTACTTCATTATTATAATTTTGTTATGATTGTATAAAGACCTAGCAGCAGTTTAAATTCTATGATTTATGGCTCAAAGTTGCTTTTTTCATTGAAACGTATTTACCATAACAAAACAAAAAAAATCCTTATTTAATCTATAATGGAGATCTTCCAGGGAACAGACAAAGTCTGACTAATAAAGAATGCTTGCAAAATAGTGTCAAGTATTTATGGAAAGTATGGCTGAATCTTATCTTACTTTGTAGACTTGTTTAAATAGTAATCTATAGTATACCTACCATGCACTGACAGTGAGTCAGTAAAAGACTGCATGACTGAGCATGACAATGTTAAAAAGGGAATATCATTATAAAATATTTTATGAAACGTCTTTGTGTAATGAACCCTGTACATGGAGGCTTTTGTCTATTGTGGGAAGCTAAAATAAATTGACATTTCATGTCCATATGCATGATGCTGCAAAATAGCGTATGTAAACTGTTTCTTTCTATACTGTTCAATTACTTTTGTCACCAGCTCCTATGAGTTTTTATTTGCAGTCCTTTGTTCCAATCACTGGTGCCCTCTTCACTGTTTTCTATAAATTCTGTAAATAAATGTCTACAAATATGCCTTGATGTTGTCTTTTCATAATTAACCAATGTGTTGTAAAGAACCATACTGGCATTTTACGTTAAAATGCTACTTCAAGTATGGGTACACCTGCTGCAAAGGGAACATGATAATGATGATTTACACTTTGGAAATTGTACAGCAATCTGGCGTAAACATGGAGAATCGTTGTATCAGTTCAGATATTACTGCAAATTCCTTAAAACCATTACTATATATTAACCCCTTCATTCCTGAATTCTTTGCAACCATTTGCAAAATATGCCAGATTAGTGGCTCCTAGGAACAGAGGGGTTAAGCTCTCAGTACTTTGGAATAATGTAATACATGGATATAGTATTCTTGATATACATTTTATATGTATACTTACATATTGAACATAATAAAATTGTTTGACTAAACATTAAAATGCTCAAACTTTCTCTGTAGTATAAAATATACATTTTTCTTTATCTCTGCCAAGTTTTCAGATTTAGTAAAATATAATTGGTAAGAAATATGAGTATGCAGAGACCATTTAAAAAGAGTACTGTATTGATTTTCTAAATGATCTCATGGTGTTGTAAGCAGGTTGTGATTTAGCATGCTTGTACGATCTGCACCCAGCATGTACAAAAATCCTTAATTGTTATGTGACATGTTTGCATATGTGGTTATTATCTGTGAACTCATTGTACATGTATCCAGATGTGTTTTCTATTGTGCTTGATTTTGCTGGCCATTCTTGAATGACTTGGCAACTCAAGAAACAAATATTCTGTGCTGTCCTTTGTAATGTGTATGCTCTTTGATGTTTTGTCATATTTCGTCAGCTTTTATTTTACCCTTTTTTCCAACACATATCTTTATATTTGTTGGAAACAAATTTATGCAAAGACAATCTTAGTAAGCTTTGCTCAACATTTTTATTTTATTTATTAAGATGATGGTACCTTGTTCAATTTAGTAAACATTTCCCTGATGTAAATCTTTTGCAGTTAATCCACCATCAGACTTGAATTTTGCAATTATAGATGAACATACTGTTCGAATGTCATGGACAAGACCACCTGATGCAATAGAGGGGTACAGGATAACAGTGGTCCCTACAACCGGTAAGGTTTTGTTTTATAAAGTCACATCATCTAGCACCACTACATTTGTTTTGTTTTTGCAAAATCTATTAAAAATGATTTTTGTATGTCAAAATGAAGTGTGAGGGTAGATGTTAACACCCTCCTAATTTTTATAGATAAGATTGTTCCTTGTCCTTATGCAGCTGCGTAGAGGTGTATGAGGGAACAAGGATTTCCCTCTGTTATATGGCCAGTGTTAGGGCTACCTACATCATAGCTTCAACATTTTGGGATATACAAGAATTGTGCTTCAGGATATGTCTACACAGCAAAATTATTTCTAAATAACAGCCGTTACTTTGAAATAACTTTACCAGAGTCTACACAGCCAAACCGCTATTTTGAAATTAAATCAAAATAGCGGAGGGCTTATTTCGAAATTGGTAAACCTCATTCCACGAGGAATAGTGCCAATTTTGAAATTGCTATTTCGAAATAAGTGCTGTGTAGATACTTATTTTGAAATAGGGGGCTCCCCAAGACCAGTCTATCAGCTCCCAGGAGCCTGCCAGGGGCTGGAAAAGGCAGGCGCCTGCCTGGTCCAGTGCGGAGACCAGGGACCTAGTTCAGGTTTGGGGGATGCCTCCAATGTCCATGATCTCCGCACTAAACAGAGGAACGCAACCGTCTACAGGCAGATGGCTGCCAGCCTGGCCTCCAAAAGGCCACATGCGGGCCCAGGAACAGGTTCTCATGAAAATAAAGGAGCCACAGCAGGTGTATGACAGGGCCACAAGGGGCAGCTCCCAACCAGGGGCAGACCCAGAGCCCTGCCCTTATTTTGATGCCATGGACCACAACCTGGGGGGCAGGACGGTCTGTGTCCCCCCAGGTGGTCATCGACCCTGGGGCGGAGCTTGCTGCCTCCTGCTGATCAAGCCCTTGCTGCCTCCCCAGCTACTGCTCCTCCTCCCTCTCCTTCTCCCCCTCCCGCTTCTTTCTCCCCACCCCCACATCCTCAGGGATGCCAAGGCCCCTTCACGCGCAGTGCTGGGAGACAGTTGGGCTGGCGAGACTCCCAACCCTGAGCTTCTCCTCCCCCTTCCTCCCCTTGCCTCCCCCTGCCAGCTCCCTCCTCCTAGGTCTCCCTCTCCCCTCTTCCATCCTCCCTCCTCCCCTCTCCCACCTTCTTTCCCCAGTCTCACCTCAGTTTCATTCTTCCCCCACCCCAGTTTTGTTCAATAAAGAGGCTTTGTTGTAATGAATACATGTGTCTTTTATTGTACAGCAGGAAGGAGGCTTAGGGAGGGGTAAGTGGAAGGACGTGAGGGAGGAATGAGGCACAAGCCCCCGGTGGGGCACACCACGGAGACTGTTACTGCCTGCAGAACGTGCTCCCAGGCTCGCAGCAACACGTCCAGGGGAAGCACCAGAGTGCCCAGGGGCGGCTCTGGCTCTGTGTTGCAGAGTTCTGTGGTGTTGCAGAGTGCTGTGGTGTCCTGAGTGAGGACAACCAGAGCACTCAGAGAAAAAAATGCTTTGCTATCCCTCAGCGAGGTAGGCAAGCAAGCAGAGAAACATTAGAACCGGCTGTCCAGGGGCGGGGGTCCCTTTAAGCACAGGTCTCAGATAGCCTCAGGCAGCAGCCATACAAGGTAACCCTGACCTGATGCTCTGACGGAACTGGTTCCGGCTGGCCTTAAGTGCTATTCAGCATCCTATTAGTGTGAACGTGCTATTTTGAAATAGCAAAACGCTATTTCAAAATGTATTTTGTGTCTAGACGCATTATTTTGAAATAAGCCATTTCGAAATAACTATTTCGAAATAAGATATTTCGAAATAACGCTGTAGTGTAGACATACCCTTAGATGCTTCTTTCTTGGAGCATCTAGGTGTGAAGGGGCAGGAAACAGGTAAAGTCATGATTCTACTTCTTCCTCTTATGTGCTGGTTGTTCACATTAATGCAGTATGCTGCACGTCATAAAGAGGGGTTGTGCACTTACAGACTCATAGACTTTAAGGTCAGAAGGGACCATTATGATTATCTAGTCTGACCCCCTGCACAGTGCAGGCCACAGCATCTCACCCACCCCTCCCAGAATAATTCTCTCACCTATATCTCAGATATTGAAGCCTTCAAATACTTTGAAGACCCCAAGATGCAGAGAATCCTCTAGCTGTGATCTGTACCCCATGCTACAGAGGAAGGCGAAAAACCTCCAGGGCCTCTGCCAATCTACCTGGAGGAAAATTCCTTCCCGACCCCAAATATGGCGATCAGCTAAACCCTGAGCATGTGGGCAAGACTCATCAGCCAGACACCCAGAAAGTTCTCTAGTAATTCCTATCATCCCTCCATTGACCTATTTCCCACTGATAATTAATGGTCAATTAGTTACCAAGATCATGTTATCTCATCAAACCATCCCTTTCATAAACCCATCTAGTTTAATCTTGAAACCAGATAGATCTTTTGCCCCCATTACTTCCCTTGGAAGGCCATTCCAGAACCTCACTCCTCTAATGGTTAGAAACCTTCGTCTAATCTCAAGTCTAAACTTCCTACTAGCCAGCTTATATCCATTTGTTCTTGTGTCCACATTGGTATTAAGCTTAAATAATTCCTCTCCCTCCCTGGTATTTATCCCTCTAATATATTTAAAAAGTGCAATCATGTCCCCCCTCAGCCTTCTTTTGGTTAAGGTAAACAAGTCAAGCTCCTTGAGTCTCCTTTCATAAGACAGGTTTTCCATTCCTCGGATTATCCTAGTGGCCCTTCTTTGTACCTGTTCCAGTTTGAATTCATCCTTCTTAAACATGGGAGACCAGAACTGCCATCAGTATTCCAAATGTGGTCTCACCAATGCCTTGTATAATGGCACTAACACCTCCTTATCCCTACTGGAAATACCTCGCCTAATACATCCCAAGATCGTATTAGCCTTTTTCACGGCCATGTCACAATGGCGGCTCATAGTCATTCTATAATCAACCAGGACTCCGAGGTCCTTCTCCTCCTCCGTTACTTCCAACTGATGTGTCCCCAGCTTATAACTAAAATTCTTGTTATTAATCCCTAAATGCATAACCTTACACTTCTCACTATTAAATTTCATCCTATTGCTATCACTCCAATTTACAAGATCATCCAAATCTTCCTGTATGATATCCCGATCCTTTTCTGAATTGGCAATAGCTCCCAACTTTGTGTCATCCGCAAATTTTATGAGGACACTTTTTATTAGGACACTTGCATAGCTTATTTTGAAATAGTTTATTTCAAAATTGGGAGCGTCTGCACAGCCTATTTTGAAATAGAGCACTCTTCCTCCGACTTCCCTTACTCCTCGTACAATGAGGGTTACAGGAGTCAGAGTAAGAAGTCCTCCAGCTTGACAGTATTTCAACATTATTTTGAAATAACTACCTGCTGTGTAGACGCGAACTAAGTTATTTCGAAATAACGTTGCTGTGTAGATGTACCCTTGGAGGCCCAAATCCTGCAAACTGGGATTTTCTAAGGGTGTCAGGAAGTTAAGGACCCAAATCCCATTGAAGTAATTTGAATCTCCTGGCTGCAAAAACTTATTCATGCCAGTGATTTCTTACTTTCGTGAATAGTCTCACTGAAGTCAGTGACACTTCGTACATCAATAATGGTCTGCAGGGTTGAGCCCTGAAATCCTGACATTTGTGTAGAAAGTTAACCCATGCTTTCATTTCCTTAAGATGTATCTAAATTTGCATGGTTCTGAGTGGGGATGTAAAAAAATGGTTTAAAAAGTAACTGTGTAACCATTAAAAATCCTATCAGCTAGATGGTTACACACGCTGTGGGCTCTGCCATATAAAGCTTATACCTCAGAGACCGTGGTGCAGCTGGCTACTAGAAAGCTGGGTACTGCCTCATCTGCAGGCTCTGATACAGAGCCCACAGCACAGGGCAGCAGTTAGCTCTTCATAAGTTCGACCAACAGCTGAAACTGGTATGTGCTGGGAGACAGCTTATAAGCGACTCCCGGTGTGCACCTGTTTCCGGCTCCACGCCCGATGACCCGGATGTGCTGTGGGATTTGCAATATAAGCTTTATATTGCAGAACCTGCTGTGTGGGGTTGACAGCTGGCTTCCTGGAAGTAGGGCCAGCAGCCAGAGCTGGTGTGTGTTGGGAGCTAGCTAACATGCACTGGCTTCTGGCTGTTGGCACTGCTCCCAAGAAGCCCAAAAGTAGGGCTCCCCAGGAGCAGGGTTCAGAGCCAGGAGCTGGCATGCACTGGTGAAGAGTGTAACCGTAACAGAAAGTTAACATTTGAATGGTTGTACTCTCACATCCCTAGTTCTGAGCTCTTTCAGCTCCTGTTAACTTACATGGGAATTTAAAGTGCTATGTACTGCCTGGGAGACACTATGCAGGCTCAGGTCCAAAAGTTTTTGTGTTGACTAGCCCAATACTCAATAATGTTGGTTAGGTTTGCAGAACTTTTTCTTAAACATGTAGCTCATTGTCAAAAATAATTGTGAAACATACATTGACAGTAGATAGGCAGTGGAAGTTCTGCTCAGAGTCAACCCAAACTAGGGGCTACTGCTGGGGGCGCAGCACAGGGATGCCGGGCCGGGCGGGGGTGGCACCAGGCATGCGCCGTGCGCCTGGGGCGGGGCCGCGCATGCGCTGGGTGCCCGGGGACGGGAGGCCCCGCGCGCCCAGGGGTGGCAACGTGCACGCATTGCACTCACGGGGGTGGTACCGTGCTCCTGGGGCCTGGGGTGCATGAATGGCTCGGCTCAGCCCTGGTTCTGCTACTACTGTTTCTAGCTGTATAGTGGGAAAGGTAATTTTCACTGTTGGTAATATGTTTAATGGTGTCTGATTCCTGGAAATCCCATTTCAGCCATTATCCCATTGTAAATCAAGAGTAATTCCCAATGTCCGTAATGTAAAACTGACGTGAATTCAGAATCAGATCCAGACACACTGTTTTTAAACAAAATGGACTCAAGTGCAGTGTGAATGGGAAATGCCCAAATTACAATATGTCTTATGCTAATTCTCCACAGGTGTTGATGGTTACTCATGGTAAAAGGCAGTGGAGAATCAGGCCCAGTGTTTTCATGTACTTAGTCATATTAGAAATACAAATTTGGAAACATTTCTCGTCTTCCAGATTTTATGTATTGAAAAATTGAAAATGGTCCTCTGTTAAAATATAATAGATTACATAACATAAACAACCCCTTGTTCCAAACATCGACTTTTTCTAGAGCAAATACTATGAATCTCCTTGAATATAAAATATTAGAACCACATTTCCTCTCATATACAGGCTGTCCTCACTAGAAGTCCAAGATATGTTCCAAAAAACTTGGACTTATAGCAAAACAACTTAAAGTGGGGATTTTTTTTTCCTGTGGCTGACTTCCATTTGTGCAAATTGTTTTTTTTTAGCATGACTAAAGAGTGGGGAATGGGAGGACTTATAACGCATCAGTTCGTACAAGCGTCAACGACTTTAGTGTGGCATGGATATCAACCAGGGCGACTTATAGCAGGGACGCCCTGTATGCCAGTGTAAATCATTTGTAACTCTACTACATTCACAGGAGTTACAATTGTGTAAATGTGATATTAGATTAGAATCAGACCCACTATATAAATTGATTTTCTGAATGACAGCTAATTTTATTTTACACATTTGGCGGGTAAGTAAAATGCTTTATTGGTAACAGTTTTTATGTCCTTTTCAATTAGATGTTTCAGAAAAGCAAACAGCTATTTTAAAAGTTTTATTTACAGCCTGTGGACAGATAGTGCTTTCTGTTATTTTTTCAGCTTATCAGTTATTGGGCTTAGACCCTTCATGTTAATTGTTTTTTGTATATTGTATTGCAGATGGACCTACTAAAGAATTTACTCTTGCACCTAGTGTTACCCAAACTATATTATCAGATCTTATACCTGATATAGAATATGTTGTGACAATAAATTCATATGATGACAGAGAAGAGAGTTTACCTGTCTTTGGCCAACTTACAAGTAAGTACACAGAAGAAAAAAAAGTTTGACATAAGTAAATAAAGCATCTTAAGTGGCTATGTAATATTTGGGTTATAGGACCAAATCCTGACTTGGTGCCAGATGGCCAACAAAATATCAGTGCTATAGAATGGCCATCAGTGGCTTGTGGGTAGCCTTTTCCCTGTTATGCTTTATTTATTGCTTTGCCACAGATTTTTCGTATATAATCAGGGGCATATTAATGACAGTATGCCAGTTTCTAATATGGAGATAGTATTTACTTGATATAAAGTGTGTTGCAAAGGTTAGTTATTAATTCTCATAAAACACTTTAGGATGGAAGGTGCAGTATGATTTACATATTGGCCTAACTGGAATGTTGTCAAATCAGTGTCTGGGAATTGTAGTTGTAAATTTTATGTATGCATCCTCAATCTGGCTGACATATCTCCCTCACATCTTATTTTTCTGAACTTTCACAAAATGTAACCTGCAGCCAAGTGACAATTTCCCTTCCACTCATCCTGTTTATGTTGTGGTTTGTTTAGTTCAGACGGGTGTTCCACTGAGTCCAGAGGACAAGAGGCCAGACCAGATTCAGATACAAAGTACGTTTTTTTGTCTTCCAGCTTATGTGACATTTTAGAGGTAACTAAGCATTTGATCCAAAGCCCAATTAAGTCAACTCAAAGTATCCCAATGGGCTTTGGATCAGATGATAAAAGTCAAACCCTGTGCCTTTGTTGTTTAGCAGTAAAACTGTACTAACATGTAATTTGGCTGTGTGCTATGTTGACTAAACTTGAGCAGCATCTGTAAATATGCAGTGTGTTATGAGAAAGAGGTGAAGATCTGAGCACAGAGCCAGGGATTTCATGTGAATCAGCTCATAAACCCTATGCTGCCTTGTGCGCATCTCAGCCCTTTAATAAGTGTCTTCTTCCTGAGGGCTCACACAGTTGTGTGATTTGTGCATAAATATTTGTGTCATACAAAAAAGGAGTCTATTTCCAGTCATATTTTAACACATTTTACAAATACCTTATTTTACTACTGTTTTAGTAAGTTATTTCCACCAAAAGCATTGAACTTTTTGTTCAGTATTTACTATTTCTGCCTCAGAGTTTATCAGTATTATTGTAATGAATTTCTTTCAAGTTCTCTGTTTCTGGAATATGCTCCCAGTGGATATGTCATTAAAGGTAGATGAACAGTGTCCCAGCCAACTAAGATATTTCACAGAAGGATTCTAATCTGTTTACATTTCCATTTGGCTTGGCTTTTACTTGTTCGATTTCCATTGGGCATTTTTGATTTATAGCTTTTGATTACAGTATGGGTCAGTGAAAGTGTTTGGAGCTATTGACATGTAAGTGATCTTTCATTATTTTCTTAAAAGATTTGTGCTGTGTTTAACCTATTTCAGAGTGCTCCGTCAATGCACTGACAGACTTAGTTTTTCTTGTGGATGGCTCTTGGAGTGTGGGGAGAAGTAACTTCAGATATATTTTGGACTTCATGGGCACTCTCATATCGGCTTTTGACATTGGGGAAGAAAAGACACGAATTGGAGTTGTTCAGTACAGTACTGATACAAGAACTGAGTTCAACTTAAATCAGTATTTCAGAATGAATGATCTTCTTGATGCAATTAAAAGAATACCCTACAAAGGTGGCAATACAATGACAGGTACAGATTTTAGCTCTTTGATAACACAAAAACTTAAAACAATAGTTGACGAAAAACACCCTTGAAGTCTGTTTGTGTAGCATTTAATTTTACAGCTGAAATTCTATTTGAATCCTTCTTCATTCATATCTCTGAGAAGTACAGACTCTTTTGTTGTTTTTAGGTGAAGCTATTGATTATCTGATTAGGAATGCATTCACTGAGTCTGCTGGAGCAAGAAAAGGCATTCCTAAAGTAGCAATTATCATTACGGATGGAAAATCTCAAGATGAAGTTGAAATTCCTGCAAGAGAGCTTCGCAACCTAGGAATTGAAGTCTTCTCTTTGGGTATGTCAGTTATTCATTAATTATTGTTATAATTTATTGTGGGTAAATGAAATAGCGCTAGCTTGAAAGATGCATTTTAAAGGCTAGGATGTTCAATGCATGGTACCTGAGACTGGCCTTTTGGTCTCTCTTTAGCAGAGATTCCCAGCTGTGCCAAGCTGCATGGTAGTTTTGTAACATGTCAAGCTGGAGACTAGGATATGCCAGGCAAACTCAGTTTGATATGTGACCGCATTAAAGTTTCAGAATGAGTCTCTATAAATAAAAATATATTGCATTATCCCACAGCTTTAATTAACTTTTAGTAGCCTGGTTGTTAGTAATTACAGAACTTAACCTGCATCAGCTTTATTCTAAGTTGCTTTAAAACTTTAAAAATATACAAAGATCTAAATGTTGTACACATAAAATGGTCTCATTTGTAATTTCTTTTAGGAATCAAAGCTGCAGATGCAAAAGAACTGAAACTAATGGCATCTCAGCCATCCTTGAAGCATGTTTTTAATGTGGCAAATTTTGATGGAATAGTGGATGTACAGAATGAAATAATTTCACAAGTGTGCTCAGGTGTTGATGAACAGCTGGGTGAATTGGTTAGTGGAGAAGAAGGTGAGATTTTTACAAAAGCTTATTTTTAACTAGAATATACCTAATATGTGTTTTTAATGTGATGGTTTCTGCTTATTTTGATATTTTCAGCTATTTTATAATCTGCCATTAGTATATGGAAGACATGTTTTTGTATCCAGTTGTATAGATTTAAACAGCAGAGGATTAGAACTCATATTGTTGAATAGACTTGATATATCCTACAGAAATCCATTACTGCAAATTGTTATGTTGCCCCTACACTTATCAGAACCTGAGAACATAACATTTTAGACCAAGTGCTCCACCTTGCTGGAAAAAAATGTGTTGAAGGGGGAAATTCACGTGAAAAGACCCACATGTGGAGGGCATACCCTTATTGTTTCAGGCAGGGAAGGGCAGCTTGGGTTAGGACAAGATGTGATTTGGAAAGGATTGGTTTGGCAGTCTGAACACTGCTAAAATCAAATAGGTCTCAAAATATAACCTTGCACTTTCTGTACCTTTGCAAGATTCCAAAATCTTCTCTTTCTAGACAATGGCAGTGTGGACTGTTCCATTTGTTTGGTTTCCTGCAGGGGCCTTTACTCATTCAAACCTTTTGATATGTTTCCAGGAAATAGATAGGTAAAGTTTTATTGCAGGTTTGAATGACAGAGCTCCCTTTGTAACGTCTACTCAATTTTGAGGAGATCACATAGAGCATAGCTTTCGTTGCTGATCTTCTGCTTCATTTGGAGCCCCCCCATGATTCTGCTGAATTTATTTACATCAACGTTATTTTAATTTTTTGAAATAAATAGAGAAAATTTGAGCAAATGCAATTGAATCTGTCATAAAGTCAGTCACAAAAAATTAGTTTTGGAAAAAAATCTGTTTTTATAATTGATTTTGATATTTTGGGGTTTGTTTTTAATTTTTCAGTTGTGGAGCCTCCTTCAAATCTAGTGGCCACCCAAATCTCATCAAAATCTGTTAGAGTCACTTGGGATCCATCTGCTAGCCCAATAACTGGCTACAGGGTGCAACTCTTTCCAATGATATCAGGTGCCAAACAGCATGTGCTGATGGTTGGCCCCCAAACTACTGCTTTAAATGTAAGAGATCTTTCTCCAGAAACAGAGTACCAGATTAATGTGTATGCAATGAAAGGAATGACAGCCAGTGAGCCCGTTACAATAATGGAAAAAACACAGCCAATTAAAGTTCAAGTGGGTAAGTTATCAATATGATTCTGATATTGTAGCTCTTTTTTATATCGATATCTCTAAATGTCTCTCTTAATAAAAGACCTTCAGTTACTGGAAGACATAGTTTTAGTAAATGGAATTAGTTAAGCTAATGATCATTGTTGAGTGTTGATAAGTGATGAATCAATTGATTAGAAATGCAGCTTCAATAGAAGTGCCATGACTATTGGCTTTTATTCTGGTGATTCTTTCTCTTTACAGAATGCTCCCGTGGTGTGGATGTAAAAGCTGATATTGTGCTTTTAGTGGATGGCTCCTACAGCATTGGTATCGCCAATTTTGTTAAAGTAAGAGCCTTTTTGGAAGTGTTAGTTAAAAGCTTTGAGATTTCACCTCAAAAAGTACAAATAAGTCTTGTCCAGTACAGCAGGGATCCCTATACGGAGTTTTATTTGAACAGATACAACAAAATTGAAGATATAATTCAGGCTATTAACACCTTCCCCTACAGAGGTGGATCTACAAACACAGGCAAAGCGATGACCTATGTGAGGGAGAAAGTATTTGTTACCAGCAGAGGATCAAGACCAAATGTACCAAGGGTCATGATTCTTATTACTGATGGAAAATCATCAGATGCCTTTAAAGAACCAGCCATAAAATTGAGGGAATCAGATGTAGAGATATTTGCAGTTGGTGTTAAGGATGCAGTACGTACAGAACTGGAAGCAATTGCTTCACCGCCTGCAGAAACCCATGTGTACACAGTAGAAGATTTTGATGCTTTCCAAAGAATTACCTTTGAACTTACACAGTCTGTCTGCCTACGAATTGAGCAGGAGCTGGATGCTATAAGGAAGAAATGTAAGTAATTATCAATACTTAAAGAAACAATGAAAAAGCAATGAAAATAGTCTGAGCCAAATTTGATTCTCAGTTACATTTATGTAACCCCTTTGTTGTCAATGAAAATGTCCAGGTATAAATAAGGGCACAATCTGCTCATCTGTTTTTAGCTAACATGATATACTCAAAACATAAAATAACTCCAAATAATTAGCTAAGTGGACTTGATTCTTCTCTTCTTTACACCTTTTAGCTTTCAGGGAACAGTGCTGATTTTAATAATTTAGGACCTGATTGATCATTTTAATCATAATGAAAAACACTTGGAAAAACAATTATTTTACAAATGTAAAAGAAGAAATTAGGAAATACATTCCCAACTCCCAAGTGTTTAAAAGGACAGTAAGTGAGAGAGCCAGATTTACAATGATGTAAATCTAGAATGACTTCATTGGAATGATTTTGCTTTTACACAATAGTTTTAGAGGTTAAAATATGTTCTCGGGAAATAAAATTACTTATCATTGTAAATTCTTCTGTAGTTGTATTTAAAAGAGTTTAGAAAGTTACCATCTTAACAAATTTCAGATTAAGAGTGAGAAATCATTCATGATGTTAACCTGGCTTTCAGTATTAAAAAATGCAGAGGAATTTTTCATCTGCTGCTACATCCTTTGCTTTACATTTTTGTATTTAAAAGGGTCACTGAAATTGGAGAAGCCCAACATCTGAAAACGCTAGCCTCTTTAAAAATAAACCTTTGTTTCAGAATACCTTTGAGATAATGAAACTTATGTTTTGGGGCTCAATCACTTTTAACAACCCCATGGTAGACTAGTCAAGCCAGCCAAAACTAGCTGAGGACTTCAGATTTATATTTGTGCCTGAGATAATCTCTACTATCCTTCTGGCTCCCTTCTTGTAAGAGTGTTGAAATAGTGTCAGGCCTGGTCTATTCTAAACCAGGTAGATCAGCTTCAGATATGCCATCCACCTACGCAAAATGCATAGCTGGATTCGATTTACCTTAAGCCAAGCTGCCGCAGTGTCTATGCTGTGGGAGGCCAATGGGAGAACATACTCTTGTCAGCTTCCCTTACTCCTCACAGAATGAGGAGTACAGGACACCGGCGGTGACTGCCCTCAGCATCCAGTTTGGGGGTCTCCACTAGATTTGTTAAATCGAACCCTAGAAGATTGATCTCTGGAGGGGTCTATTTCCATATTGTAGACATGCCCTTAATTTCATTTGTGTTCTAGTGATCCAGTAAAACAAGGGTGCTCTGTTTTCCCAAGGGTATTACCACTTGTGATACATGAGAAAGAAAGAACCCAGCTTAATTCTGAGATTCCTCCTTAAATTTGCAGTTACAAATTACAGCTTTTTCATTGAAACTAACACATTTGAGGTGGAAAACACTGAGCTGATGTTTCTGCTCATTGTTGTATGGTTTAAGACAACTCAAAGATTATCACAGAATTTTATGTATCAATGAGTGAGAATTACAAACAAGCATATCAAGAAAATATTTATTGACTCAAAGAAATTATCTGATTGCAGGAAATATTTTTGAGAGATTTTAAAGGGGGTTTTAAGTGTTTTATTGTACTGTGTGGCTTTCTTTTTTAAACAGCTTATTTACCTGCCCGTGATTTGTCTTTTTCGGAGAAAACGTCTGACAGTTTCAAAGTGAATTGGTCTCCAGCTTCATCTCAGGTGTTGTCCTATCTTATTAAATATAAAGTAGCTGCTGGTGGAGAAGAATTCCTTGTTTCAGTACCAGCTTCAAGTACTAGCTCAGATCTCACCCATTTACTCCCTGAAACTACTTATGCAGTCAGTGTGATTGCAGAGTATGAAGATGGCGAGGGTCCTTCCTTGGATGGGGAAGAAACAACTTTAGAAGGTAACCGTCCTATTATGCTCAGCCAGAATCATGTTCTATACTCAAGTAGCAATCTGCTTTATTAAGATAAACTTGTATATGTGGAATACCAAGCTAATGCTGAGAGATGGCACTGGTAAGTGAGATGAGAATGGGCATTACTGTCTCCCAGTGCGTTGACTAAAGCTCTAAAATTCCAATAAAGGACAGCTATTGAATGGTTGCTGGGTACTGTGTTTTCTCTGAGGTTCAGAGGCCATTTTTCCAGTAGAGCATGATGGTATCAATGAATTAAATAACAAATAAAGCATAATGTAAATATATACTAGTTAAAGCTCTGATCCAGCAAATTTATTGCCACTAATCACGTGTTTAAAGTTAAGCATATGCTTAAGTAGTTTCCTGCATCTATGTCTTTTAACTTGTGTTTAGAGAAACAAAAGTGCTATATGGACAAAATGAAGAAATCTGTTCCCCAGACAGGGACTCCTTAAGAGCAGGACTTAATGGGCCTGATGTTATGGATATTAGACTGCTATGGAGTTTTCTCTCAGTACTGTCTGCAAGATCAGGCCTATTTTAAGGGGTGACATGACAATTAATATAATTTTTGTATCCCTATAATTAGTCAATTCAGTCTAATCTAGCTGGGATTTTAAGATGCACTCATCTCTTTCCTTTATTTTTAGTTCATGATATAAACTCTGACCTTATAATCCAAAAGATTCTAAGGTGAACGACATGAAAAAGAAATAACATGAAAAGTCATGCTGTTAATGAGTTTTCCTCAGTATTAATTACAATTTATGTTTGTTTATAAAATGGCTTGGATTGAGGGAACAATCCAATATGGACAATTTTGGCCCAGAATCTCAAATGTGTTTAGATATCTAACCTACTTTGAAATGAATAGGAATTGAGGATTTGGATTTTCATCCTTTATGTATTTGTGTACATAATCTCATCATGTCTGCACAGGTCATAATGTTTTAGCCACATGTAACTCTCTCCCTTAGAAAACCATCTGCTTCAAATGTTAGTTTTTGTTTTATTTTTCTTAAGTTTACTGGATACTGTGTTTTTATGAATCATAAAATGTAGGGCTGAACTGTGAAGAACTCAGGAAGCATAAGTAATTTCAGATATGTCAGAAATGCACTCCATATTGTGACAGATAGTGCATTTTAAAATGTTCACCAATTTGAACTGATAAGATCTTTCCATTTTTGAGAAGCCACTAATGCCATGTAAATGCCAGTAGTTCTGTATGCTGAGTTGCTAGCAGCTTGGGTTGAAAAGCTGGTTTCTTGATAACTGATTTTGGCAATAGAAGTGTAAATCCTATGCTGTATTTATGGTCAGTGAAAAATAAGTTGCTTTTTAAAAGAAAGTGTTTTTTATGGTTCAACTTTTAAACAGATCTTTAACTGAATAACATAGAACAGAATTTCTGATACATTGATGTTCAAATTATCTTTGTCAAGGAAGTTTATCTTGATGTGGTTAGTGAACACTCAAGTGAAAGTTTTGTCCTTAAATTAATATGAATAAACTCTCATTGACTGTTGGGCAACACATGATATAATTTGGCTCAAGGAATATGGCAAAGGATTAAATTATGCCCTGTTCCATCTGTCCAATCTAGCTGAATGGTCTCAGCTGAAGCCATATTTTTTGTCAAGGACAAGACGAGGTTAAAAAGCAGGCCTTATTTTTTCTTATCTTCCAAGATAACATACAATTTTCTGTTTTGAGAGGAGCAGCCTAATTAATAAATATTGTAAGTAGTCAACAAATGAAAAATTCATATAATTTATGAGAATTTAGTTTATAGAGCACCAATATTGTCAATATTTTTTCTGATTATGACATTAGATGGCTTTTCAAAATCTAGTGTGCACATATGTATAGTCAAGTGCATTTGATGCTTATTGTCTTAAGGGGGTGGCATAGAAGTAAATACCTACAAACAATGAAATGTGTGCAAAAAATCTTTATTAGGCAACCTGTTGTTTTAAGAAACTGCTCCACAGTATACCCAAATGTGCTCAGTAGTGTTCTACGCTACCTTTAGTAGACGTCTACCCTGTTATCCAGCTACTTTGGCAGATTTGAGTGGCTCCATAAAGCAGCCAACATTGTAGTTTAAGATGTAGCTCTGGTTTTATATTTTCAAAAGCAACTCATAATTGTAGGTGCCTGACATGAGAAGACCGTAAGAATGGCACAATGTGTCAGACCAATGGTCCATCTATACCAGTATCCTGTCTTTTGGACAGTGCCAGATGCTTTGGAGGGAATGAACAGAACAAGGCAATTTCCTTGTTGGCCAGTCCCCTTTTGGCAGTCAGAGGCGGATAAGCATTTAAAGTATCCTGATTTTCAGAAAGTGCGGTGCATCAATTCTCTGGAACACCAGGCCCTTGTAAGGTGTTGCAGATTGGTTATCCAAAATTAGAAGCATAGAAAAATAGCTAGTCACCTTTTGGAAATGTGGCCCTGGTCTTGGTAAGTGGGATGAACTGATGTGGTTGGTTCTCTGAAGAAACTGGCTGTTTGAAGGCAAATGTTTGCAAATTATATTTGTGTTTGTTTACAGTTACAGGGGCTCCTCGAAACTTAATGATATCAGATGAAACTACTGATAGTTTTAAGGTTGGCTGGACGCCAGCTCCTGGAAATGTTCTTAGGTATAGAATTGCATACAGGCCAGTAACTGGAAGAGAGAGAAAACAAGTAACTGTCCGAGCAAATGAAAGATCAACTACACTACTGAACTTGACTCCTGATACAAGATATGAAGTTTACGTTATTCCTGAATATCAGTCTGGGCCTGGAAATTCATTGAATGGATATGCAAAAACTGAAGAAGGTGTGTAATAAATAACAGGCTTGTAATGTGGCTTTGGGAGAAGGCTGTGCACATTGATATAATGTTTTTTTCTGATATGAGTAGCTTGGATGGTGCATTTCTCTTGTTACAGCAGGATGAAAGAGGCATTTCAGAATCATGCAAGTGTAACTGACCTATGATATAACAGTATCTCAAATGCTAATAAAAAACCTTTGAATTTTGCCTTTTATGTTCATTCTTGAATCTGTAACTCTTAGGGTATGTCTAGACTACATAGCTCCGTCAACAGAGCCATGTAAACTAGTTTACCCGGCATAGGCAAAGAAGCGAGGATTTAAATAATCACCACTTCATTAAAATAAACATGGCTACTGCGCTGTGCTGACGATCAGCTGATCCGGCACAGCGCAGTAGTCTAGTCGCGGATCGGTCAGCTGGGGAAGCCTTTGCCGACCAATCCCTTATGCCTTGTGAAACGAGGCTTACAGGATCAGTCGGCATAGGCTTCCCCAGCCGACAGATCCGCATCTAGACTGCTGCACTGTGCTGGATCAGCTGATTGTTGACACAGCACAGCGGCCATGTTTATTTTAATGAAGAGGGGATTATTTAAATCCCCGCTTCTTTGCCTATGCTGGGTAAACTAGTTTACATGGCTCTGTTATGCCTTGTGAAACGAGGCTTACAGGATCAGTCGGCATAGGCTTCCCCAGCCGACAGATCCGCATCTAGACTGCTGCACTGTGCTGGATCAGCTGATTGTTGACACAGCACAGCGGCCATGTTTATTTTAATGAAGAGGGGATTATTTAAATCCCCGCTTCTTTGCCTATGCTGGGTAAACTAGTTTACATGGCTCTGTCTACGGAGCCACGTAGTCTAGACATACCCTTAGCAAGCACGGCAGCCATGTTTATTTTAATGAAGTGGGGATTATTTAAATCCCCGCTTCTTTGCCTATGCCTGGTAAACTAGTTTACATGGCTCAGTCTACGGAGCCACGTAGTCTAGACATACCCTTAAATGTGTCAAAGTGCCATGGGCAAAATGCCCATGTATATATAAGGCAAAGAAAATAAGACTTCTGAATTATCTGTTACAAAAACCTTTCAATTTGAAAGGTTTAAACTCTAAGTATGTATAATCTTAAAAGTTGATCATGTAGTCACAGGGTACATGACACATCTTTTATCTGCTGTCAGTAAGTTGCTTATTTAGGGGCTAATCCAGCATCTCTTAAAATTGGTGATAGTCTTTACATTGAATACAAGAACTGATGGATTGGGCCTTGATTGTTTATGCAACATTACAATTTTACAGAAATAAAGATCAAATTTTGATTGCTAAATGGAAACTAGTTATGACTGGTTAATTGTTATGGTATGCCTCTATATTGTAAGAGTTGCAAATTTTGTATTTTTTCAGTTGTAGGTTTGCTGTCAATTGAAGCTCCAAAAGGGCAGGTTCAATGTAAAATTTTAATTTCAGGCACAATTTGAAGTTTATTCTTAACACGAAGCAAAGAGCTAATGAGCTAAAGAGCCAGACTATCATTAGCTGAGTCCCCTGTGCTTAGACACAATAGCACATATGATCGATAACGTCAAATGATGATGCTACAGAGTCAAGGTGGTTCCTTTATAAAATATAGTGCCACAAAATAAGTAATTATAAATTCTCCAGGGCACAGATTGTGTTTTACTCTCTGATGGTATACCATTTTATACAATAAATCTCCTGATTCTGACTAGAATGTCTACTTAATAAAGATGATGAGAACAACTGCAGTTGAACAAAATCAGACCATTTTATGCTTACCCTATGTTATGGAAGTCAGTATTTTTGAGAAGTACTTAAAGTGTCACATAGTGGTGTTGAATTTTCCCAGAGGGAATAATGATTCATAAAAATTAAGTATGGGATCATGGCAATTTCAAAAACACTTAAAATATCAAAAAGCACTAATTTGTCTTAGGGAATAAAGTTGTATTTAAAAAATTCCTTTCAAGTCTTAGATCAGCCCTCTGGGCTGAATCTTCAAATTTGCTGAGCAGTCTGGAACTGATCCAGCAAATCACTTAAGAATATATGCTACAATCTCTTATAATGTCTTAAAGGAAAGAAAGAAATCTGGCTTGATTCATGATATGTTTTTAATATCTTTTAACATGTAAAAGTCCGAGGAAGTCCAAGAAATTTGAGAGTTTCTGATGCTACAACATCTACAATGAAGTTATTGTGGAGTGCAGCACCTGGCAAAGTACAGCGGTACCTTATAACATATACTCCAGTGGCAGGTGAAACCAAGGAGGTTACCATAAGGGGTGATACTACCACCACAGTACTGAGAGATTTACAGCCAGGCACCCGATATGATCTATCTGTAACTGCCTTGTATGCATCTGGAGCAGGGGATGCCCTTCCTGGGCAAGGAGACACACTTGAAGGTAATTGTTTATAGATTGTATATAATCATTCATCTGTTTGATTCCATTTTAAATTGCGGTTTTTGACATTTCTACAGAAGTAAAACTATGAATAAAAATATGTTTTAAGAACCTCCCTCCTCCCTTGTTTAGCAATCCTTGTGAATCAAGTATAGTTGCTGTCCCTCTAGTCAGAGCACAAAGGCTTAGGGATGTAAGTGACTAATTGACTAGCAAAAGCTTATCGGATAGTCAACACATTAGTCGACTAGTCGCTTCCTCCCCTTGCTGCCTCTATCAGAAAGAGGCAGAAGGGAGGGAGAAGAGGAAGAGGTACTGGGGGGAGCCAGCTTAAAAGCTCTGTGGGCGGGGCAGGGGTGCAATGGTGGTGTTCCACCTTTGAAATGTACAAGAGTCTCTGCTGGGGCTCTTGTACATGTCAAAGCAGAAGCACCGCATGGAGCCCGGGATCAGCGAGGGACTCAGAGATTCCCCTGCTGGCCCCGGGTTCCATGTGGCATTTCAGTCTTTGAGATGCACAAGAGTCCCTGCTGGGGGTCTTGTACATTTCGAAGGTGGAATGCTGCGTGGCTCTTCCGCATTTGAAATGTAGCAACAGCTTACGGGCTCTTCCCACATTTCAAAGTGGAAGCACTCTTATTGACTAATCGAATAGTCGATGGAAATTCCATCGACTGTTCGATGGGCAGAAAGCAGTGGGGAGTGTTCACTGGACAATGGATCCCACTGTTGTTCCTGGAAAAGTGTGTTGCACTGGTGGTATAACCTTTTGCTCCTAGGAGCATTGAACTAAGTCACCCTCACTGATTTGTGCATTTGGGGTTGTGCTCCTCTAAACCAACTTAAATATGGGACTCTGCCTCACAGGGTGCAGCTGGTTGTGAACTCAGGAATAGTTTGGTGACAGATTGTTTTTATTATCTTTCTGTTAAAAAGTCTTGTCTGACTGAAAACGTGAGCCAGACTTTAACCTGTGTTGAAACTGTGGTTGGAAATGACATTTACTCTAAATGTAATACATTCAGGGACCCCCGTTGCACATAAAATGAGTTACATATAGCCTATGGATAGGTGGAATGGAACACAGCTGTTTGTGTCTAGTAAAAACAAGAGCCTGAGAACGAATGATAACAGAGAAATAAGCAGGAGCCTGAGGTTTCCTTATATTGGTAGTTGGAGGCTGTTTTTCTGACTTGGTGTGGAGAACTTCCCAGCCTAGAAGTTGCTGCTTGTTGTCTGAACATTCTCATTGTCATCGCTAGGCTATGAGAGGAAGCGTGACTATGTTCTTTGCTGGTCAGGGTATATCTTGTAGCCATTAGGAGATAAAATAACAAAAAATGAATGTAGTTCACATCCATAAAATAAACTGAAAGGAAATAGTTACTCTCACCCTTAAATATGTTAAGGGCTTGCTTCTCATTTACACTTGGTCCCTTTTACTGTGTGATAGCAGTATGAAGTGCTCTTAAGATAGACAAAAATAGGGCCCTGAAACAAGGCACTTCCCAGGAATGCTGTAAAATAAAATTCCAAATAGTGAGAGGAGTAGGGGAAAACACATCAGATGCCAAATTTATAAGCTACATAGTCACTTGAAAGTCAATGTTTAATCTCAGAAGTAACAGGGGCCTAAAGGGTTCAGATGATTGTTGTGTTTGTGTATCACTTAGCTACTAAGGACCCCAATTATGAGTCAGGTCTTTGTGCACTGCTGCAATGTAAATGGATATGAATAAGAAGAATATGAAAAAAACCTGGTTTTAGTTTAGAATTTAAGAATTTCAAATTGATGACACAGGCCTTATCTCAGGGGTGATCTTACAATAAAAACCCCCACCCCCATGTTAAGATCACTGTTTTGCCAGTTCAGGAACAAAAGGAAGGGATAAATGTGACTAATGTAGTATGTCTCATTACTCAGCTCCAGAGCCTTTGAAAGATGATAGTGACTGAGTAAAACCTGTAATAATGAAGTCGTCTTGTAGTAAATGCAACTATCAGTAAATTAAATGCCCCTTTATTTATCTCAGAGTCTCAAATAAGGGAAAGCCAAACCAAAAGTAAGAATACTATATTGTGACATGAAAGCTATGAGGGTATGTCTACACTGGCAGATATAAAGTGCTGCTAGTTGTAGTGCTGCTCTCAGAGTGCTGCAGGGAAACTGCTGTTGTGTGTCCACACTGTGCTTCTCGTGATGGTGGAGCATCTCTGCACTATCAGCTCTTACAACTGCACAGAAAGCAGTTCATTGTGATAGCTTTCCCACTGTGCGACTGGCTTCAGTGTGTTTTGGGAAGGGTTTGCAATGCTGCATGGGACAGACAATGTCACAGGATGCAGGTTTCCCAATCCCATTGCTCCATAGTCACCCTACTACATTGACAGCTGCTTTTCAACTGATGTCTGGAAGGAGGGGGAAGAGTGTGACAGGGAGTGTGTGTGGGGAAAGACAGTGTGTTTTGGGGATGTCAGTATCCCGTCTTGTAAGTTCAGACAGCAGCAGAAAACCTGTCCTGAGGAAAGGGGAGGAGGAAGCCGTGACATCAGCCTTCCCTTCCCCTGCCTCTGTTCAACAGCACAAGCATTCTACCTGAATGGTTTATTCTGTGTCCCAGATCAGAGCAGCACAGCATGAAGGCTTGTCCAAAATGAAGCTCTGAAAGGAGATATGCTCATGCCTACTAGGCAGCCAGCCAAGTTCAAAGCCAATGAGCAGAGCAGTGACTTCAGGGATTATGAGCCATTTCCAGAGGCCAGTCACAACACAGCAAACTACTGATGTGTCCACACAGGTTCCCGAGTGTTGTGGCCACTGGAAGAAAAGTCTGCCTCTCTCATTGAGGTGGTTTACCCAGAATGCTACAGCTATAGAGATAGTGTGCACTAGTGGTACATCTACACCATGCAGTTATTTCGGGATACTGGAGGTATCCCAAAATAGCTACCCCACATCTTTATAAGCTGACCATTTTTTCAAAATATTTTTTGAAATAACGGGCATGCATGCTCTTTCAGCATCCCAGTAACCCTCGTTCCACAAGACTCAAGGGATGTCTTGAAATAGCCTATTTTGAAATTCAATCCAAATAAGATATGTAATATTTCAAGTTTAGGGTGCTGTGCAGATGCACCCTCAGGGTCTTGCCAGCGTGGACACTATAGTATTTACAATGCTGGGAGTTGATTTACTGCACCGTAATTTGCCAGTGTAGTCAAGGCCTGAGATTGAAATTAATGTTCAGCTTCCTAGAATAGTCAGCTAGATTGGAAAATCCTTTTGGAGTGTAATCAGGAAATACATTAAAAGTTTTGCAGATTAAATTTTAGTCAGGGAAACTGGTAGCAAAGCAGCTATTATTATGAAATGTACAGTAAAAAAACATATAAATGTAGGTGTCATTTTCATAATATGGAGGACCTTTGTGGAAATCTGCATGTATTCATAAGAATGCGTGGTTGAATAAATCTTCAGGGAACATCCTTATTGCATTTCTGTGAATGGAATATCTACAGTTATCTAGAGTAACAATGAATTTTTCATACAAGTCAGTCTCAAAGTAGGCCAGGACACTTTGACAGAACCTTTTGATCTTTCAACACATTGCATAATTTATGGTATGAAAGGAATCCAAAAACCTAGAAGAATTGACATCAGGCATCTATTTACTGTCTGGTACTGTATTTTATTTAAAATAATAAATTTGAGGATAATTAGACAAAATCTATGAAGATAAAAAGATAAGAATAAGAGGATAACAGATCTAGAAACAAATGAAAATACCTTTTGTAGCTGAGAATAGAAGTACTCTTAAAATTGTCACATTGCCTGTGTTAGGTAGCAGTAGAAGTATAATATAAGTCACATCAGCTTCTGAAATGAAGTGAAAATTTAACTAGCAGAATACTTGGATGTCTTGCCTATTTCCTTGGTACTGAAATTGCACATACATTAACTCCTGGAGAAAACAGTGCCTCCCCAACCGCTCACTCCCTAACCATCAACATATAAAAGCATGTATTTAAGGTAGTTTCTATGTGGGTAGTTTCAATGTTTGAAATAGTGTTTCACAGTGGTTTTTCTCCTAATCAATTACAAGAAATAAAATAGTTTGTTTGAGCAGTGAAGAATGAGAAATAATATTAATAAAAAAGAAGGCAACTGAGTAAAGGGAAAGCTAATGAAACAGCTGTGAATAAAATAATCTGAAAACGTATCTCTACTATTGTTTAGTCATGGTGGAAGAAAACAAAAGGAAAAATCAAAATTCTCCTGTGACTCCATAGACTTATGTCTGTATTGAAATAAAAAACCCACAGCTGGTCTGGGTCAACTTGTACTTGCAGGTCTCAAGCTGTGAGGCTAAATATTGTCAACCCCTCATAGGATCCCACAGTTTTGGCTACAAAGCAATTTTACAGCCTTGTAGCCTCAGACCTGTGAATCTGAGCCAGCTGAAGGTGTTTGTGATGTAAGACAATGCCTTCTTTTTCTTGAGGTTTCTTCAAATCATATTGTTGCATTTCCTAATCCTCCTTCCTTGTTATTTCAAATGCATCCTTTTGCTCCCCGCTGTCAAATATAATTGTTCTACAGTGTGTTCAACTTTTGTCCTGTATAGAAGCCTCTGTAAGGAAAAGAAACCCCAAAATGCAGTTGCTGCGCTAGTTGTAGTGCTTGTTTACAATTTGGGATATCTTTGGCTACGTCTACACTGCATCCCTCTTGCGCAAAAGCCTATGCAAATGAAGTGCGGATTAGCATATTGCTGTGCTTAATTAGGGCCCGTTTTTGCGCAAGAGCCATTCTTCCTGAAAAAATGAGGAAGAACTGCTCTTGTGCATAGGGGTGTTTTGTGCAAAACAGAGCTGTGTAGATGGCTCCTTTTTGCGCAAAAACCTCCTGTGCAAAAACGGCCCCTGATTAATTATGCAAATGAAGCATGGCGACATGCTAATCCGCGCTTCATTTGCATAGGCTTTTGCACAAAGAAATGCAGTGTAGACGTAGCCTTTGTGTTTTTCCTTGCCTTCTGTTTGTTTCCCAGAATTGTTCTGCAGTTGCCACATCTTTTCTCCTCCTAAAAGAGCTCGGGTGCAGAGTTTTCCAAAGAATTTCAGATAATCTTAACTATAACATGTTTGCATTAGCTTTCTGATCCAGCTCAAGAATAAACACATTCCAGAGGCCCTGGGTTTTATAAACTCTTCAAAGACAGTAGAGAAGGAAGAATTTAGCACATGAGAAATTAGAAATTGTGGACCATGTTCCATATCATGGAGTTTATTCCATGTTAGGGGCTTGTGTTTCTACCTTATTGTTTTGTTTGAGCTTGGGGTGGAGAGGTTGTTTTCCCCCCACCAAGTAATATCTAGGGTTTTTGTGTCCTGTATAAACTGCAGCCTATTGACATGTTTCAGTGATTTGTTGGATCAGTTCCAGAGTGTTCAGCAAATTCCAGCACTGAATCCTGGTCATTGTAGTAGAAAGTGAGAACTTCGAGTCCACGGGTTATATCCTAATGGACATGTGTATCCATGGGGGATAGAAAAAGGAGCATGTTATCACAATACCAAAAAGCTGCCAAAAGCTGTATCATATTATGGATGTTCATTAGTGATTTATTTACATTAATTATTATGTTATGGTAATTTTAAAAATACCATGTAAATATTGAAAAGCACTAATTGCCTTATGTAGTAACTTCTTGTTTAGTTGTATTTAAAAACTTTATTTTAGGTCTTAGATCAATCCTCTGGACTGAATCATGGAATTTGTTGAGAAGTCTGGAACTGATCCAGCAAATCACTTAAGCACATATGCTGCTCTCTCTTATAATGGCTTAAAGGAAAGAAAATAATCAGGCTTGTTTCATGATATGCTTTCAATGTCTTTTAACATGTAAAAGTCCGAGGAAGTCCAAGAAATTTGAGAGTTTCTGATGCTACAACATCTACAATGAAGTTATCTTGGAGTGCAGCACCTGGCAAAGTGCAACGCTATCGTATAACATATACTCCCGTGGCTGGAGGTGAAACCCAGGAGGTGACCACCAGGGATGATACTACCACTACAGTGCTGAGAGATTTACAACCAGGCACCCAATATGATCTATCTGTGACTGCTTTATATGCCTCTGGGCCAGGGGATGCCCTTCCTGGGCAAGGAGAAACACTTGAAGGTAATTGTTTATAGACCGTGTATAATTATTCACTTATATGGTTCCATTTTAGGTGTTTTAAATTACATAATGTTCCTGAAGTGTCTACAGATGTAAACATATAAATCAGGCCTATGTGCATTTTTGGAATGTAGGGGTACGTCTACACTTGCACCCTAGTTCGAACTAGGGATGCAAATGTAGGCAACTGAAATTGCTAATGAAGCAGCGATTTAAATATCCTGCGCTTCATTAGCATAATCATGCCCGCCCGCTATTCCGATCGCCAGCTGATTCGAACCAGGAAGTGTGCTCTGGGCCGCGTTAGTTCGAATCAGACCCCTTGGTTTGGTTACTCAAAGGAGTAACGTTAGTTCGAACCAAGGGGTCTGATTTGAACTAACGTGGCCCAGAGCGCACTTCCTGGTTCGAATCAGCTGGTGATTGGAATAGTGCATGGGCCATATTATGCTAATAAATCCCCGCTTCATTAGCAATTTTGGTTGGCTACATTTGCATCCCTAGTTCGAACTAGGGTGCAAGTGTAGATGTACCCTTAGTGAATAAGGGATAAAAGGTATATGAAACAAATCTGGTTGTGGTTTAGAATTAAGAATTTCAAGTTGATTAATAGGTCTTATCTCATAGGTGGTTTTATGTTAAAGCATTAAGACCAGATATTAAGGTCACTGTTTCACCTGTGACTAAAAGCAAAGGAGTAAATGTGACTAATGTAATAAATCTCATAACTCTGCCTTACATCTTTTGAAAGATGACAGCAGCAGACTGAAACCTGTAATAATGAAGTCTTTGTGTAATAAATGAGAATATCAGTAGGTGAAATGACCTTTTATTTAGCTCAGTTTCTCAAATAAAATAGTCATACCAAAAGTAACAATACTATATTGTGACTTGAAAGCTGTGAGATGCAAATTAAAGTACAATTCTTGAAATAAGCAGCTAGATTGGAAAATCCTTTCAGAGTGCTATCAGTAAATGTGTGTACCAAAACTTTGAACTGAAATACATTAAACTAGTTTTGCAGACTAAATATTCAGAAAACCGGACTGCAAAGCAGCTATTATTATTGGACGTAAAGTAAAAAACATATAAATATAGGTGTCATTTGCATAACAATGGAGGACTAATGAGGTAACCTGGATGTATTCATAAGAATGTGTAGTTGAACAAATCTGGGAACACCCTTATTGCAGTTCTATAATGGGCATATCTGCAGTTGAACTTTTCATACAAATACGTCTCAAAATAGGCCTGAACACTTTGGCCAAAACTTTTTGGTCTTTCTACAAAATTGCATAATTCATGGTAGGAAAGGAATAAAAAAATGTATAAGGATTGTTCACTGCATGGTACTGTAGTTTATTTAAAATCGTAAATTAGAAATTTGAGGATAAATAGACAAAATTAATGTAGGTAAAAAGAAAAGAATAAGAGGATAACAGATCTGGAGACAAATGAAAATATGTTTTTTAGTTAAGATATTAGAAGTGCATTTAAAGTGATGTTGCCCATAAACTGAAGATGAAAATGGCAGGATATAGCTGAAGTCACATCAGCTTCTGAAACAAAAGTGGAAATTTAACTAATAGAATACTTGGGTGTCTTGTTTATCTGCTTGGTACTAAAATTAGCACAGACATTAACTTCTGGAGAAATCATTGCCTCTCTGAGACCTTTCCCCTCTGCTATCAGTAAAAGTATTTTCTACCTGGGTTTAATATTTTTAATAGTGTTTCACATTTGTTTTCCCCCAATCAAGAAATAAAATGATTAGTTTGAGGAGTGAAGAATGAGAAATAATAATAATAATAATAATAAAAAAAAAAACAATTGAGAACAAGAAAAGCTAATGAAATGAGAGTGGATAAAAGAATCTGAATATGCATTGTCTGCTATTGTTTAGTCATGGTGGAAGAAAACAAAAGGAAACATCAAAACTCTCCAGTGATGCTATGGAATTCTAATGAATAGGCAATAAGGCCCTTTGGATATGTCTACACTGATATAAAAGACCCACTGCTGGCCTGGGTCAACTTACTTGTGCTGGGAGGTTTTGAACTGCGGGGTTGAACATTGTTAGCTTCTCAAGAGATCTCAGTTTGAATTCCAGCCCCAGTTTAAATGTTTGCAAAACAGTTTTATAGTCCTTCAACCTGAGCGCCGAAAGCCTGAGACAGCTGTTCCTGGGCAGCTGTAAGTGTTCAAATGCTGTGTAGAAATAGGGACTTTGTGCAACACCTTTTTCTAGAGGTCTCTCTGCAGTATATTGTTGCATTTACTAATCCTTCTTCCGGTTCTTTCAAATGTCTACTTTTCCTCCCCATTGAAAGCCATAATTATTCTCCAGTGTGTTCAGTCTTGTGGGACAGGTTTGTCCTTTTCTGGAGAGTACCTCTGAACCTCACCCCCAAACATTCAGTTTCTGTGCTACTTTGTAGTCCTTGTTTACCATTTGGGCCCTCTTCCTGTTTTCTCTTGTTTTCCCATTTATCTTACCCAGGCCTTGATCTGCACCTGCCTCATCTTCCTTCCTCCCGAAAGATCTCAGGTGCAAAGTTTTCCAAAGAACTCCAGATAATTTCAGATATAAAATGTTTGCATTAGCTTTCTGATCCAGCACAAGGATGAACACTTTGCAGAGGCCCACTGTTTTATACAGTGTACAAATACACTAGAAAAGGAAGAATTTACCACTGTACTGGACTTGGGTTTTGTTCTTATTCTTTTGTTTGGGGATGGGGTTGGGAGGTGGCTTTCATCACTTCATGGAATAAACAGGCTTGTTTTGTGCCCCCATTCATACTGCAGCCCATTGATATGCTGGATCAGTTTCAGAGGGCTTAGCAAGTTCCAGCATTGACTCCTGAGTCATTGTAGTAGAAAGTGAAAAGATGGAGTCCATAAGCTACATTCTAACAGATGTGTGTGCCCATGGGGGACGGGAAAGGGAGCATGTTATCACAATGCTACCAAAAGCTGTACTATATTATGGATGTTCAATAGTGACTAATCTAAATTAAGTATTGTATCATGGTAATTTCAAAAATATTTTAAAACATGAAAAAGGACACATTTACCTTATGTAATAACTTCTTATGTAGTTGTATTTAAAAACTTCCTTTCAGGTCTTTGATCAATCCTCTGAGCTGAGTCATGGAATTTGTTGAACAGTCTGGAACTGTTCTAGCAAATCACTTAAGCGCATATGCTGCTCTCTCTTATAATGGTCTTAAAGGAAAAAGAAATCCAGCTTGTTTCATGATATGCTTTCAATGTCTTTTAACATGTAAAAGTCCGAGGAAGTCCAAGAAATTTGAGAGTTTCTGATGCTACAACATCTACAATGAAGTTATCTTGGAGTGCAGCACCTGGCAAAGTGCAACGCTATCGTATAACATATACTCCCGTGGCTGGAGGTGAAACCCAGGAAGTGACCATAAGGGGTGATATCACCACTACAGTGCTGAGAGATTTAGAACAAGGCACCCAATATGATCTATCCGTGACTGCCTTGTATGCATCTGGAGCAGGGGATGCCCTTCCTGGGCAAGGAGAAACACTTGAAGGTAATTGTTTATAGACTGCATATAAATCATCTGGAAAATCCTTTCAGAGTGCTATCAGAAAATATATGTATCCAAGCTTTGTACTGAAATACATGTGAAGGTAATTGTATATAGATAGTATATACTCATTCGTTTATTTGGTTCCATTTTAGGTGCTTTAAATTGATACATGTTCCTGAAATTTCTACAGAAGTAAAATATGAGTCAGGGCTATGTGCACTACTGGAATGTGAACGAATAAACATAAGAAGAATACAAAAAAAAAAAAATCTGATTGTGGTTTAGTATTTCAAATTGATAAATGGGTCTTATCTCAGAGGTGGCTCTATCTAAAAGCCCAAATGTTAAGATCATTGTTTTGCCAGTTCAGCAACAAAAGGAAAGGGATAAATGTGACTATTGTAATAAATCTTATTACTCATCTCCAAATCATTAGAAAGATGACAACAAACAGAGTAAAACCAGCATTAATGAAGAATAAAACAGAATAAAACAGAAACTAAGAGACACATTCTTATTGTAAATGTGAATATCAGTAAATGAAATTTTCCTTTATTTTCTCAGTTATCTTCTCAAATGAAAAGAAAGCTAAACCAAATGTAACAATATTCTATTTTTACATGAAAGCTATGATATTCAAAGTGAACTTCAGCTTCCTAGAATAGTCAGCTACATTGGAACATCTTTTCAGAGTGTAATCAGGAAACCTCTGTACCAAAGCTTTGTATTGAAATACATTAAATTAGTCTGGAAGATTAAATTTTAGTTAGGGAAACTGACAACAAGGAAGCTGCTATTGTGAATTCATATAAATGAATGTGTCATTTGCATAATGGTGGAAGCTCCATTTGGTAATATGGATCTATTGATAAGAATGTGCGGTAGTACAAAAGTTAATTGAATTACCCATATTGCATTTCTATAAGTAGTATATCTATGGTTTTCTAGACTTTAAAAATGAACTTTCACACAAGTAAATCTCAAACTAGGCCAGGACACATTAGCCAGAACCTTTTGATCTTTCAACAAATTGCATAGTTCATGGTGTGAAAGCAATAAAAAAATGTATGAGGATCAACATCAGGTACCTTATTAACCGTATGGTGCTATATTTTTTTTAAAATGTTGAACTAGAAATTTGAGGTAAATAGACAAAATGTATGCAGGTAAAATGAAAAGAATAAGAAGATAATAGTTCTGAAGACAAATGAAAATACGTTTTGTAGCTAAGACTAGAAGTACATTTCAAATTAAGTCATGTTGTCCATGAATTCAAGATAAAATGGCAAGATGTAGCTGAAGTATTACATAAGTCACATCTGCTTGTGAAAAAAAGTGAAATATTAACTAGCAACATACTTGGATGTCTTGCAAATCTGCTTCGTGCTAAAAATGGCACAAGCATTAACTCCCGGAGAAATCAGTGCCTCCCTGAGGCCTCTACCTCTGCCATCAATAAATAAGGACTTTTCTATCTGGGTTTAATGCTTGAAATAGGTTTCAAATTTGTTTTTTTTCCTGGATCAATATCAAGAAAAATAAATGCTTAATTCAAGAAGGGAAGATTGAAAAATAATATGACAAATACATGAAGTAATTGAAAAAAGTAAAGTTAATGAAGCAAGAGTGGATAAAAGAATTTGAATTGTATCTCATTCTATTTTATCTTGTGAAAGGAAAAAAAATAAAAGAAAAAATCAAAACTCTCCAGTAGGTTCATCTTCAATGGAATAAAAGACATATTGTTGACCTGGGTCAAGATACTTGGGCTTGCTGGCTTTGAGCCTGTGGGACTAAAAATTCCTGCCCTATCATGTGATCTCAGAGTTTGAGCTCCAGCCTGAGCTCAAATGTTTGCAAAGCAGTTTTACAGCCCTTCAGCCTAAGCCTCCTGCTCCCTCCAAACCTGAGTCAGCTGGTCAAGGGCAGCCACAGGTTTCGATTCCTGTGTGGAAATAGTGACTTGAGGCAATATCTTCTTTTTGTAAAGGTCTCTATGAAGTATATTGTTGCATTTATTAATCCCAATTCCCTGTTCTTTCAAATCCATCCTTTTCCTCCCCACTGCAAGACATAATTGTTCTCCAGTGTGTTCAGCCTTGTGGGACAAGTGTGTTCTTTCCTGGAGTCTCCTTCAGAAAAAAATCCCAAAACATTCAGTTGCTGTGCTAAATTGAAGTCCTTTTGGGATCTCTTCCTGTTTTCTCTTGCCTTCCCTTTTATCTTTCTCAGGACTTAGTTTGTACCTGCCTCATCTTTTTTCTTCAGGTGCAAAGTTTTCCATAGAACTCCAGGTAATCTCAGTTATAAAATGTTTTCTGATCCAGCCGAAGGAGGAACACTTTACAGAGGCCCAGTAAGAATTTAGCACATGAGAAATTAGAAATGGAAGGCTATATTCTATGCTGTGGAATTTATTTCTGTGAAGGGGACATGGGTTTCTTTCTTACTGTTTCGTTGGGGTGGGAAAATGGCTTTCTTCACCCCCTGGAATAAGTAGAGGTTTTTTTGTGCCCCAGTCATAGAGATCTGAGGAGGTTCACAGTAGTCCAGCAGCAGTTTTTTTAGCACATGAGAAATTAGAAATGGAAGGCTATATTCTATGCTGTGGAATTTATTTCTGTGAAGGGGACATGGGTTTCTTTCTTACTGTTTCGTTGGGGTGGGAAAATGGCTTTCTTCACCCCCTGGAATAAGTAGAGGTTTTTTTGTGCCCCAGTCATAGAGATCTGAGGAGGTTCACAGTAGTCCAGCAGCAGTTTTTAGAGCACAGGTCTTCAGCGTCTTTTAGCCATTGGCTGTCTCCATCTGTTGATGAGGAGCACTAGTCAGAGGAAATTTTGTGAAGGATAAAACTGCTTAAATCTGCATTATCTCTTTACTGGATAGCTGTAGGCTCCTGAGGGGGGCATGCTTTAGAAGATGCTTCCTATTTACCCTCTCTCTAAAACATATGGGCCTGTCACCACAAAGCTCGGGTTGGAGAGCACTGGTAGGGCTCCGGGGGGTGAGTCATGCATCTTTCCCCAGGATCTGATCACTTTGGCTTCCCTTCAACTCAGAGAGGTGGATGATAGAAGGTTTCTTTTACCAGCAGCTAGAGTTGTACTCAATTTTCAATGTGACAGAGCTGAGACTGTGAAGAAAAAAAAAGAAAATTAAACTATCCACAGAAGTCAGCTAGTGAAACAGGACTTGTGGCAGGGGAAGCACCTACGCAGGGTGTTTTTCATGTAGCACTAACACTATTCCTCATTATTTGTGGTGATTATAACAGGATGAGGCTCTTCCTTGCCTATCTTCCTCTGCGTATGCAGACCACACTTGGGCTCATTGCTTGTAAACTCAACATGCAGCTTATTTACAGTGTTTCTTCAGCACCTGATCCAGCACCTGATCCCTCAACCCTTTAGACCACGGGTAGGAGTGGTTGGAGATCTTGCCCTTAGAAATCTTCCTTGGGACTGACGCTGAAAGTTTTCCTCTTTCTGTTTTTTTCTCTACTTTTGACATGTCTTCTGGTGCCTTTTCTGTGTTCTGTGCTCATGTGTTAATTAGCTGTGTAGCTCTTTTCAGCCCATTCCCAATCAAGTTATCTCCTATGCAATTAGTGGGAGTTGCGCTGACCAGAAAGCTAGTTCAGCTGCTGTTCCCCAGTTCCCTGTCCCAGTGATACTTCACAAATTACAAGTTGATGTAGGGATGAGACTTAAGAAAACCTGCAGGACAACACCCCCCAGCAACACATCGAATTGTTCATTTTATTTTGTTACATCAACGTAGCCAAAATCATATATCATACCCCAGAAATATGATATTATGGTGAACACAGTGAGTACGGTGAGTGGAAATCCAGTCGATAGCTAACAATCAACTGTTTCTCAGAGCTACTGTTTTTCTAATCTGTTTTCCCCTGCGAAATGGGGCGGTAAAAGCAGGCCTGGCAAGAGTTTCCTTTTCTGCTCTGAGGCATATTGTTAGATGACAAGAACATACTGTACTTAGGCTGTTTAATAGATTAACTTGAATTTATAATAGTGTGCAGTTTTTAAAGAAAAAACAAATTTCTCTCTAGGTCAGGTAAGCTATAGAAATATGTTTAATCCTAACCTATATCTTCATGTGCTGAAAGATTAAAATCTATTTTATGAGTACCTGGAAGTTAGGATTTTTGAGAAGGGCCTTAAGAATATCACTGCTGCTGCTGGTGAGGGTGTTTGCATCAGATGGCTAAATGCACAGGAGATCATTATCATTTAAATATGAAACTGAGAGCAGTCTCACAAAAAAGTATTTCTATCTGTGAATCAAAACAAGCCCCATTCCATTCTGACCTTGCTTGCACTACAGTAATTTCAGAGCAACGCTACTTATGTTAGAGTAGTTATTGGGCCAGAAGCTATGCAGGTGTAAATTGACATAACTCCATAGAAGTAAATGAGCTGTGTCAGGTCTTACGCCAAGAAAGAATGTAGAACATCATACTTAAAACCTCAGCGACTCTGAGATCAGAATCTGTCCCAGTACTTATACTGTAGATTATTCTAATGTAAACAACAACAGCTTCATATTCAATTGCACTCAGGACATATTCTTTATTGGGGATTAAATAATGGTATTTTTTTTTACCTTATAATGAAAGTCTTTCCATTTAAAAGTTATAGGGCCCAGTTCTGTCATTTCTTCTAATGCTGTGAGAATTAGGCTCTTATTTATTCACAAGTATTCATCATTCAGGGACTCTTCTGCTGTATACATTTCTCAGAGCTTGGATTTTTTTTTGGCCAGGAAATGAATAGTGGTTTCTTAGTAGATATATGTTTTTTTTGCTGTTTCTATAGTAACATAAGAATGTTTTAGAAACTAATGACCTCCTACAGACTGAATGGGACTAACTCAAGTGACATTTCCTGACAATGAAGTTTTTAGCATATCACAAGAACTTTCCGTAATATCTGGATTACGTAGTCCTTTTCCATGCAGACTGAAACAAGGACTCA